TCATCCATTGGCTTTTGAGGGCTTGAACAAAAAAAATTGAGTTAGAGCCATGATTGTCCAAGTCTGCATGGCTCTAGCCCCACCTCCCAGCTTTCTGCATTTCAGGTAACAGCTAATGCAAAATACAGACCCAGTGTTAGGAGGTGGGCTGAGCTCTGTGAGTGCTCTGGCTGCTGGGCTGTAGCATCACATCAGCCCAGTGAACCTGGCTTTCTTTGCTGCCCACAGGCATCAATTCTGTGGAGGAATAGAAGATAACTGTTCAGTGGGGTAGAGGAGGGAGTCAGTCCTGGATCCTCTCCTTCCTCAGTGAATGTTGAAATGGCATTAAAATGTTTTGGGCTCTTACATACAGTCAGATCTCTTCTGCTGTTGTTTTTCCAAGGAAAAGAGTGAGCTTTCTTCAGTTCTCTGGAAGAGTAGATGTTCTCAGGGGCTGGTGTGTGCAGTTGCACCCTGCTAGGTCCCAAAGATTTTAGATGCATCCCTTTCCACATGTTTTCTCTCCATGTGTGGGCTCCTCTGGATTCCCACTTCTCTTCATCCTTTTCATGAAGAATTTGGATATCTGGCTGAGGTTCTGGATTTTACTGGGAAATCCAGTCACCTGAGTCTGATACTGTGGGAAAGCTTTGGATGGCATGTTTAGGAGCTGACTCATTAACAACATAATTTGACCTTTTACTGACTGCTAATTTTTTGTTCTTATTCTCCTCACCATAACTGTTTGATTTTGAGTTGGTTTTTGGTCTTTTTCCTCCCTCCCTCCCCTCCAGGAAAGAAATATCAAGCTGGCTCTTGAGCCTTCAGATGAAGAAGAGGAAGTGTCAGATGGCCTGGCTGAGATATCCTTAGATGGGTTCCACTCTGACAGTGCCACAGGAGCAAAGGTGCACTTGGATGCTGAGGGCAGCCTGAACTGGCCTGTCCTCTTCCTGTACCCTGAGCACGAGCAGACAGATTTCACTGTGGCTTTCCATGAGAACTCCAGGTGAATGCACTGCCAGCAGCACTCCTGCATGGAGGAGGTGTTTGAGCAAATGAGAACAGGCAGCAAGTGAAACACTGCCGTGCTGGTGGAGCAGTTCCAGATTTCTAATCACACAGCTGACCCTGCTTTTGAGCAGGAGGCTGCACTAGATGACCTCCTGAGGTCCTCTCCAGCCTGAATTATTCTGTGATTTACATAAATTTATAGTGCAGACAAAGCCATTTAGCCAGGGTGACAGAAGGGGCCTGCAGAGCAAGCTCAGAGCAGTAATTAATTAATGGCCAGGGATACCTGTGACCCATCCACACGTGTGGGCTCGTTAAGGTGCTGTCTCAAAGCCTTCCAAACACGGCATCTCAGAAAAAGAGGTTAAACTTAAAAATTATGAAAAGCTTCCAAAGGGGGGCCTCAAATAACCAGCAGTGACCCCAAAGTTCTCCTCAGGGCTTTCAGCAGATCTGACTGAAGTGCTGCAGACCTTTCAGTGACTGGCAAGCTCGGAATTCCACGCTCCTTTAAGTCAACTTCAACTTAAAATCTTGTAGTGTTAAACAGACTTGGAATTTGTGACTTTTTCTTTGTTGGAAGACATATTCCTCAGATCTATTAATAATTTCAGGACTTAAAATTACAGTGCCAGCAGATTAGTAAAGTTGTAGTACTTTCATGGTAGTGTTCACTGTCCCTTTTTGTGACTAAAGGAAGTGGAAATGGATTTTTGGAACACACTGGACTCCAACACTCCTGAAGTAGCAAAGTAAAGAAGCCTTTCACACACAGACATTTTCTCATCACTCTGATCTGGTGAAGCATGGAACTGTGTTGAAGGAAAATCAATTTTAGACAAAATGCAGGGTGCTTTATCTTGACATCTTTTTCAGTGTGAAAACGTAAAGTTAAAAATAATTTGTTGTTGCAGTGCTCAAATTTGAAACCAGTAACCTGAGTTACAGCAGGGCCTGGGATTCATTGGGAAAGTGATGATTTTGAAGGGAAGGAGCTGTTGGTGATCTAAACTTGCTTTCAAGTCTGTTGTTTAATTTGCTAATGTATTTTTGCCATCATTCAAGTGCGAGTATACAAGTTATTGAAGCTGAGCACTTTGTCTAAGCTGACCAAGTGTATTTTGGCTTTTAGGTTTATTGATCATTTAATGGTGATGTTTGCTGAGTTACCTCCTTGGGATTTAGAGAAAAAATACCTTCCCAACAATCTTGAGGTGAGAAGTTTGACTTTCCTTCAATTTCAGGGTTGTTGTGGGGTTTTTATTTCTGGAGTGAGAGTGTGCACAGCTCTGAGGGTATGGGAAGTGTTGGCATCTGTTTACCATGCACAGATGTGGAACAAGGACTTATAAACTCAGACATTGCCCATGTGTGCTGACAGAATTGACTTATGGAAACGGAAGATGTCTTCTACTTAGACTGTATTTGACAGCAAGTATTTATAGATACTGCTTAGATTCCATCTTTGTAACAGTAACTGAGATTTAAACCATCAAGCTGATAGGTGGCCTGGTTTTTTAATTGCATCATGGAGTTGCTCAATACAAATAAGGAAATATTATTTTAAAAATAATTTCTTTTTAAAGTGGAGTTACTTAAGCACATAATCAGATCAAGATAATATATCTCTATTAACACTTTAGCAAAGGTGGGCTGTGAGTTGGTTGTGGCTGCAGCAGGTTTTCAGAGTGTTTCTGAAGTTGTACATAGAAGGATATGAATGTTTATTTTTCATTTTCCACTTCAGTGTCATCTGTGCCAGGGAGCAGCACAACCCTGTGTACAGTGAGCAGACAGGTCCAGAAGGACAGTGGCTGTGTACTTTTCCAGGTTAAATCCTGTGTGTATTTACAGTCTAAGGCACCATTGCTGGATTTTAATCTCTTAAATCAACTCTGTTTTGTTCAAATACCTCAAAACCTGCTCAGTTTATCTCCTAACATTGCTGCATTTCACCTGTTAAAAAGCAGCCCTTAGATTTGGATTGATTGCCTGTAAAGCATGGGAACAGCCAGTGTATTTTACCTTCCTGCTGTCACTGCCAGGAGAACCTAAACTGGTTTATACAGGGAAAACTTGGAATTCACACAAAACAATTTCTGCCTTGCTGAATTTTGCATCCGACAGTCAGGTCAAGCTGCAGAGGTTTGACAAAGCCCTAGCTGATAATGGTGTGCTGTACTGGGCTTTCAGCAGCTTAGTGCTTTTCTTCATGTACCCCAGGCACTTAATAACACCCCCCCCAATTTTTTTTCCAGCTCTATTTTGAAGATGAAGAAAGAGAAGAAATGTATGAGGTGAACCCAGAACACACATTGCTACAAGTGCTGCAGCATGAAAGGTGAGGCTGTACCTGTCCATGTGCAGGGGAAAAAAGGCACAAAGTATGAGCTTTAAGTCCAGTTTGTTCTTAAATAGTCCTAACTCTTCTCTGACTTAATAGTCCTGCCTCTTGAAGGTATAAAGCTGTGTGGATTTTGTGTCTGGCTTTAGCGACTTACATTTTCCCCCCAAAAAATGAACAACTTTCCAGGACTGGATGGAGATGGGAAAGGGAGCTGGGCACAGCTGAGCAGCACAGAAGGGCTATTCCAGATCCCATCTACACAGTACTACTTTAAAAAAGAAAAACAAAAAGAAAAACAGGCAGCAGCCGCTCAAGAGCGTGTTGAAGGTTAACAATGCTCTCGCTGTTCACGCTGCTGCGTGAGCAGCCCCTGGCACAGCACGCAGCTCTGTGCTGCTCTGAAACTGCCTTTAAAGAGTTGTGCTGTTACTGAGAGAGAAGAATTTGCTGGTTGTGAAGCCAGAAAATTCCTGTGCAGCCTGTGCTGTTGAGTTGCACCATCTCATAGCTGTCTGGAGCTGCTGCACAGCGCGGGGGGCTCGGTCTGTCACAGTGGGAGCGGGATCTCCTCCACTCCATAAAACTCAGCAGTGTCCATAAGCCCTCAGATTTCAGGCTGTAAGGGCAGTTGCACAAGAACCCTCCTTCCAGAGGGAGAATAACAGCTGCCTTAATTAAAAGAAGCTGTTGGGAGACAAGTTGATTCATAAAACACTCCTCCTCAGATGTGCTTAGCCCTGGCTCCAAGAGGCTCTGCTAATCAGCACGAAAGCTCGTCACTAGCCTTTGGGAGGTCAGTCTTTGTGGAGCTGGGCAGGAGTCACTTGCTTTGCAGGACACTGAGCCAGCTACAAGGAAGCCAAGCACTCCTTTTAATCTTTGCAGGTATTTTGTAAAGGCCGGGACCCCGACAGTTTTGGTACTTGCCAAGCGTTCTCCTTTCTCTGAGAAATACTTCTCTGGCAAGAAAGTGCATCGACTGTAATGAGCAAGAATGAAACAAGGAATCCTGTGCAGGAGGCTGCTGTTGGTTAGCCCAGCTCCAGGATGCAGATTTCTGCTTGAACAAAAATACCTTGCACTCTTCAGGGGAGGAAAATAATCTTGGCACACAGGGAAGCTTCCAGGGGAGCAGCACAGGAGAAGGAAGGGCTGACATGAGGGGATAATTTGTTTAAAAGGGAACCCAGCTGGCTTGCAGAAGGTCTCCTCTATGATAGGCTGCATGTGGTTTTGAAATAAACCTGAAGCAGTGCCAAACACTGGCTGGGGTTGCAGTAACAGCAGCTGGGAATGTACCTCCTTACCTGAGAAGAATCACAGATTTCCTCGGAGGTGGGCTGTCGCTGCTGGGGTTTAACAGTGGTGGCCTGGGGCGATCCCTGCCTGTTGCAGTGGGGTGGATGCAGTCAGGTTCCTGTTGGCTGTGCTGCTGGCCTGGGTACAGCAGTGCTCTTTGTTTGGAGCAGTGTTTGACTGACCCTTTTGATACCTTCCTGAGTGTCCTACAGAACCTGGAATAAACATGGCTATTTTAAGCAGACTGACTTCTGCCTAATGAATGAGACAACATTTTTTCTCACCTTGTGAAATACCCAACACAACACCCTGATCCATCACGTTAACTGGTACAGCCAACATCCAGGGTCTTCTGCACTTCTATATTTGCGTTTGGCTTTTAATTAGAAGTAATTCTCAATCTCTCATTTCTTTCTCTTCTGCAGTGTCCCTGTGACTGCAGGAACACACTGCAGCTTTAGACACAGCTAATGTACAGGGTGTTAGAAGGCTGTTCAGCCATAAAACACTCCTGCTTCGATCATGGAGGCTGGCTGCAGGCAGCTCTAGAGAAAATTTCCGTCTCACTATTCCTAAATTTCCACACAAACACATCAAGAGCATCTCCACCTGAGGATGGTGCAGTTGGATGGCCAGAGCTCGGGGTTGCCTTACAGCAAGGCAGCCGGGGGTGGGCTCTGGCCAGCCAGCACCTGGCAGGGTCCTGCTCAGAGGGCAGGGAGCTGTGCCGCCAGGTGCCACAGGCTCAGCGCGTTGCACGCCAGGCAGAGGAGGTTGCACAGCGAGGACAGAGCGTGGCAGAGGGCGAAGCGCCGGGCCAGCTGTCTGTAGCCGGGGTTGGAGGCTCGGAGCTGCCTGCGGGGCTCGCTGGCCGCCGGCCCCAGCTCCTGCCCCAGCTCCTGCCCCAGCTCCTGCCCCAGCCCGTGGCCGCGCTCCACCCGCTGCAGCTCGGCCGCGCTGGCGGAGGTGGCCGGCCCGAAGCACTGCGCGTTCAGCACCGAAGCGATGATGCAGACGAAGAAGATGATGATCTGCGGGGGAGAAAAGCCCACCCTGAGCATCTCACACGTGTGGTGGGTTAAATCTCCCTCCCCCCCAGCCCCCTGGCTCCCCGCAATTTGGGTGCTTGTGGGCTTCTTCCAGCCGGAGCCCTGCGTGGGTCTCCGTGGTTTTCGAGCTGGCCGCTGGAGCAGAGGAAGGGCTTTGGGCCGTGGGCAGCTCACGTTTGGAAGGGGAGGTTACCTGGCTCGTGTGCTCCTCGCCGAGCCGCTCGCTGCGGTGGGACATGGCAAACAGCGTCAGGTTGAGGAAGGCACAGGTGCAGCCGATGTGGAAGTAGTAGGGGAAGAGCTCACGCTGAATGGAGCCAAAGGTGTGGCGAGGGAGGTGCCTGCTCATCACAAACCCTGCGAGGGGGAGAGCAGGTGAGTCCTGGGGCAAAGCCCCCTCCCCTGTGCCACCCCCCTGGGCAGAGAGCACAACGCAGCCCAACCTACCGGCCACGAAGGTCACCCAGAGCTGCATTCCCCAGGAGGTGGAGAGGAAAAGCAGGTGCAGCAGTTTGATGGTGTTGGAGGGCTCCGTGTCACTTGCCATGGTGTCCTGGATGGGGACAGGTCCCTTCATGTCAGCCAGGACGCCCTGAGCTCGGCGCTGAGCTGTGGCTGCTGCTGTCACCTTGCTGCTCGCAGGGCAAATGCAGTTCAGGTTCACAGACCTGCTTACTCAGGGAAAGCTTTGGAGCTGGCACAGCCCCGTTCCAGCCCCACCACCACACACCCAGCTGGGCTGCAAACCCGCTGTTCAAACCCCTCGTGTCCCAGGGGCCGGGCACTGCTCAGCACCTGATGGAACCAGATGGTTTGAGTGAACTTTTGGCAAAGTCCAGCCAACTCCCCGTCTGACCCTTGGCAGCAGGAACAAGCAGAAAGTCAATAAAAAGGGGAAGAGAAAAGCTGTGACAAATACACCTGCCCACGCTGTGGCCATCAAAGAGGCCTCTTGGCCAGGGGGAAGCCCCTCTGTTTAAAAACAGCAACAGCTTCTACGCTTTTTAACCAAAACCCTGGGGCTCACACCGCTGCCCCAGACCCTGCACAAGAGCACGGGCAGCAGTGGGTGGAAGGAGGCTTTGAAGGAGCTGCCTGATCCTTCAGTGCAAGGAGCACTCTGAAAATTAATTAAAACAAAGCTTCTGGGAGTAGCCCATCAATACTGCTGCCTGCAGAATTCCTCCTCCTCCTCCTCCCCTTGGCTGGTCGCCTCGGGGCATGAATTACAGCGGGGCTGGCCTTGAGAGAGACACCGCCGTCTAATTCTATCCCACTCCTGCAAAGCAGATAAATATACCCTGTATTGTGATATATTAGCTCCATGGATTTATTTAGGCATCCATAAAATCAGGTCCTTAAACCTTCTCGTGATGGCAGCACACTGGAGAAGGCGCCCACATCCAACCTGGAGTGCTGGCCTGTAAATCCCCAGCTGTCCTCATGGCCTTTTCTTTTCCAAAAGCTTCCTGGCTTTTCTTGGGTTTGGGGATTTTTCCCTGCAGCATCCTGGGCAGGAAGGCAGTGCTGGGCTCTGCCAGCAGCCAGCACAGAGCCCTGCTGCTCCCGGGGTCCCAGATCTGCCTCTCCAAATGTTTTGCCTCCGTGCAGGAATTACTGGCCGAGAGCTCCGGGGTGTTTTCATGCAAAGAAGCTGCAGGTTGGAAGGTTGCTCAGAACAGGGGGTAACTCCATTATTTTTTAAAGGGGATTAGGAAAAATGGTGGTTGATTGCTGAATTGGTCCTAGAGCACAGCATTTGATGGGGAGGGCTAAGAAAGGGAAAGGCTGCTAAGGACAGTCACCAGCAGGTCCCTCCTTCCCTGTGGCATGAGGCAGTGGGGATGGGTGCTCCAGGGATACTCCAAGCTGCCCAGTCCTGCACTCCATGCCCTGCTGAGGGCCAGCAGATGCTGCAGGGCTGCAGTTTTCTTCCAGAAGCACGAAGCACACACCTCACACCGTGCCCCCAGGTCACTCCTGCCCCATCACCCTGCATCCCCGGGGACCCAGCCAGGCTGGAGCCAGCGCTGCCCGGGGCCTCCCGAAGGGAAAAAGCACAATACCTTCAGAGAAGAAGAGGTCAGTTAAAGTTTAATGTTCAGGCAAATACATCATCCCCTCCACTTAATCAAGCAGCAGCAATTCCTAACGGTAAGTAGAAAGGATGGCTCTTGTCCTGGTGATAAAAAGGCAGGATTGCTCTGAGTTTTGGGAGATAAGAGGGCTCTACAAAAATTGAATGTATAGTACTATGTTCAGCCTAAGATGGCTTTATCTTTTGGAGGTCAGGGCACAGCCGTGCCAGACCTTGAGCTGAGATGTTTATGATGGGAGATACAGCAGAGATTAGGGGTTTATGGCCACAGCCAGCCCAGGGGTGGGAGCCACTGGCTGGTGGCCACAGGAGAAGGGACAGGAGCTCCTTCTGCTTATAAACTGGGTGGGCAATTTGGGTGGCAAAGGGACTGACTGGGTGTTGCAGAGGGACACCCGGGGTCATGGAAAAGACCCCATGCTCATTTCTGGTACCTCTGTGGCCTCACCTCACCCCGAGTACAGCATCACCATCACTTGCTCTTGGTTAAGCTCTACAAAACCCATCCTTGGGCTTAAGCACATGGCTCTGCAGGCAGAGGCAAGGGCACAGCTGGCACCAGTAAAACCTGCTGTGCCCAAAGCTGTGTGCCTAAGGGCTTCCAGGGCTCACTCATTTTCCAGCAGGCAGCAAGCCTTCCAGAAACCTCAGTGCTATCAGAAAACCTCTGGCTGTGTGACCCAGGAAGGCCTGGGAGGGGCTCTCCACAGGCCTGTGCCGGAGGGCAGATGTCCCCTGCACTGTCACTGATGAGTAGCACTTCCACTGTCACCCCTGCTTCATTCTGGTGCCTTTCCCAGAGCATTCCAGACTTTGGGGAACAAGGTTTGGCTCTGTCTTTTCCTTTTTCAGCATCTCTAAGGCAATTTGGGGTCTGCATCTCAAGGTGTTGGTGCACCCAGCAGAAGGGGACAAGGAGGGCTGTCCCAAACATGAGAGCAACAGCTCCAGGCAGTCCCCAAAAGCCACCTGCATGGAGCACCACCCCTTTTCTGCAGCACAGTCCTGCCTCACAGGACCCCACCTCCACCTGAGCCCCAAGTGTGCTGCTCCAAGCTCACCACACAGCAAGCCCCTGGAGCTGATACTCACCCAGAGCACATAGGGGTGCTTTTCCTTTCGAAAAACTTTTATTTCTGCTCCTTCCACAGCCCCAGGGGGTGGGATTTCAGCCCAGGAGGAGCAGGGGCTGTTTTCCAGCCCTGCCCAGGAAAAGAAGCAGCACTGGGGAGAGTGGGATTTTTCACCCCTATGCCAGGGAGGGGTACAGCACCCACCCCACATCACTGTCCCCTCTCTCCCTTTGCTGCCTCAAAAGGAACCATTTATGCCCCACCAAGAACTAGTGAAAAAAAAATAATCTGGTTTGGGAAGATTTTGGATCATATAAAGATTCAAGTAGTGTTAAGTGAACTAGAAAACCAAGTCCTGTACATAGAGCTTACAAAATTTCTACATAAAATACAAAAGGAAAGAAGAAAAGGTATGACACATCAGTGATGAGGTGGTACAGTAATGCCCCTCCACCCCAGCCCCTGAGCCCAAAGGCCCCAGGGAGGCAGGGTGTGGGTGCCACCATCCCATGTTCCCTTCCACCACAGAAGTGTCCCCCTCATCTGTCTGTCCATCTGTCAGCAGGGGGCCGTGGCTCTAGAAGTCCTGCAGCCGTGAGATCAGGTCCTCCTTATTCTTCAGCAGGAACTTCTCACAGGCTTCGAAGGTGGAGCAGATGTCGGAGGACAGTCCCGCCACGTTGGTGGTGACGTAGTTGAGGTACCCCGGCATAGCCTGGTTGTAATAAGCCACCTGCGAGCACAGGACCAGGTCAGCAGGGGCACAGGGGAGGGGAGAGCCTCCCCCATGGGCTGTGGGAACACAGCCACGCAGCATCCCACCTTGCTCATCTCCTCTGACTCTGGCCAAATGCAGAACCCGGAGCAGAGCGTCTCCCCACGCGTGAACTCGGCTCTGGCGGGGTGGGTGGGCAGCGTCACCGACCGAAAGGCCACCACGTAGGGGTCCCTGGGGACGAGAGAGCCCAGTGAGCTGGCACAGCTGGGATGGCAGGGAGCAGGGGCCAGGCTGGACGCTCACCCCTTGCTGCAGGGCTTCCTCCGGGATGCCAGGATAACAAAGTCCTGCGGTTTGTTCTCGTTTCTGAGCTTCTGGCTCACCACATGGTAGATCATGTCATCGTCATCGACCTTCTGGACAAGCTCAGCACTCCTGTAAGGGAAGGGGACAGCTCACAGAAACCTTGCTGTGCCCCCTGAATCTGGGCCTTACATATTTACAGCCCACCACCAGACCCAAAATATTTGGGGGGGACTCAAAATAGGTGTTTGCTCCAGCAAAACAGAGCCATCAGCCCAGACGGAGCCAGGACAGGGACACACAGTGAGGTGTCTCTAAGAGCAAGCAAGGCAACACTCTGGCCCCCAGGAAAGCCCAAAGGGATGCTCAACCACAAGGTTTGAACTCAGGGGTGTGATGTCTGGGGAGGCCTGCAGCACTCACACGTAGTGGCTGTCCCACTCGTGCCGGCGCCGCAGGTTGGAGAGCAGGGAGAAGGCTTGGCTGGCCGGGATGCAGACGGACATCTCGATGCGGAAAGACAGGAACTTGTCCTCCTCCAGCGTGTACATCCGTACCTTGGGGAGCACAGGGCACAGCTGGGACGTGTTCCCACCGGGATTGCCCACGCTTTGGGGCCGAGGGAGAAGGGACAGGGTTTAGCACCTTTTCCTTTTCCCTGGCGAGCACCCAGTTGGCTTTGGCCACGAGCATCTTCAGCGCAGAGACGTTGTTGTAGCTCAGGTAAACCTGGGGCAGGGGCAGCACGTCAGGGGCAGGAGGGGGAGCAGGAGGAGGAGCGGGAGGCAGCAGCTCCCACAGGTGACCATCCTACCTTGTTGCTTTGGTCCCAGGGCACGGAGAGCGGCACCTCGGTCTGTTTGCAGGAGACGACGTATTTTCTGCAGCAAAGGAACAGTTTCCCTTATGAGGGGTCACAAATCACCCCCAGACTGTCCCTGCACCCCAGTGCTGGGCCCCCCTTTCTTCCCTCCTCCATTTCACATTCCACTCATTTTTCTGCTCACCGGTCCAGCCGAATTTTTTTCCTAGCACTGGCTTCTCTGTACCTCCTTTCTCCATCCTGATAAATGGGAAAAGGCAATTAAGTTAATAGGAAAAGGAGGATGAAAAATAAAAAAAAAATCATGTCTTTTTGGAAGTGGGAAAAACATTCAGCAGGGAAGGGCTGGAAGGTGAAGCCCCCTTGCTTGCCAGCTGCTACCCTGGCCAGGCTGCGGTGATGGTCAGTGATTAATTGTGCTATTTCAGCATTACCACCATGCTCTGATCAAGTGATGAGCACTGGCACATTAGGGAAAACCCTTGTTGTGGCTGCAAAGCTGCAAAGAGGCCCTGAAACAGAAACTGTGTACCCTAGCACCTGCAAATGTCCCCTCCTGGGGAAATAAAAGCCAAAAAAAAGCAGCTTATTTTGAAGAAAGTGCTGGTGTGGTGCTTTCAAGCGGGTGAGAGGAGGTTTCAAGGGGGCTGACTTTGGCCACGAGATGATCTCCATCACAGTGGGAGATCCTA